CCATATTTATTATATTAGAAGTTCATCTCCAGTAGAGGTACTTGTACCATATCAGCTGTATTAGAAGCATATCACCAATAGAGGTGCATGTACCATATCAGCTGTATTAGAAGCACATTTCCAGTAGAGGTACATGTACCATATCAGCTGTATTAGAAGCACATCTCCAGTAGAGGTGCATGCACCATATTTGCTGTATTAGAAGCACATCTCCAGTAGAGGTACATACACTATATTTGCTGTATTAGAAGCACATCACAGCTCTATTAGCTCCAGAAGAAAAAAACGTTAAAAAAGGTCGTTTTCCCATCGGAAAATACCGTACGGTCGGAAATTAAGCTATAAACTGTCGATTAAAAAGTGGGGCAAAATGAGACCGCATATTTACATATGCTAATTGCTGCGTTTCAAGATATTGCTGAACGGAAAAATGTCTTGTGTCCATAAAAACGAATATACAGACGAATTAACAAACAATACATGTACAAGTTTTATCCAAGTGACGTCAGAGATCATTCAGCGACGTTTGGCACCGGGAACAACGCAGTCTTGGATACATTCTCGGCGAAATCACGGTCGATTACTTGTCTTGTATGCAGAAAAGTACTCAATATTCAAAGCTAAATAGTTTTTCACCCGACGATTTAAAGTTTTTATGGGTTGCGTGCAGTCAGTCAGTTAAGGTGAGATATTTATTTTTATTGTGCGCCAATGTGCGTTCGTGAAAAAAGTCATGCTTACATTTTTTTACATTTCCATTATTTATTTAGATGATGTAAAACTTGGCCAAAAGATTTCGTTTTTACATGGAGGTAAAATACTGTGGAATACTTTATTTTCGCTGGAATTAGTTTTCACTGAAAAGGCTTTTTGGGCGTTTTGTGTGGAATTTATTTTCACTGATTTTTTTGATGAGTTTAATGTGAAGTATAGGAAAAAAAGTATATTCGCTGGATTTTATTTTCACGGAAACATCCCTTTAGCGAAAATAAATTCCAAGCGAAAATAAAGTATTCTACAGTAGGTGGATTCTACTTATGGTCGGTGGGTGTAGATCGATTAATATAGCAATTTTGTCACCATTATTATTTATTAACATCAAAATGATAATTACAGCCTACAGCCTTTTCATGAATATACAAGCAGTATACTGTTATTTTACTGTAGTTTAAATTGGCGTAACCTCCTTTTAAAAATAAACTTCCCTGTTTCATTGTGTATTTATATTTTTTTTATAGTTCCAGAATATGAATCAATAGGGTTAATCTAGTCTCCGAACGTATACGGATATTCAAAAAAAAAAAAAAAAAGATATAGGACTTGTTTTCATGCTGCTTAAGTTAAGAGACATTTCGTTTCGTTTCCAAAGGCGAACTGTGTTTCTGATTGCGGACTGCAATGTCATATATGTATATTTACTGAAGGGTTAATTAAATAAACTGTCGAGATGGTAAAAAAAGAAAATATGTAGTATTCTCGTGTTC